TGCTGAGGGGCACCGCTCCCCCACGGAGCTGGAGCAGGACAGCGGGTCCTCTGAAAGTGGTTGCTCGGGGGCCGCTCTGTCCCTGGGGGAGCAGCGGTGTGGTCAGGGCTGTGAAGCCAGCCGGGGGTGGGTGGGCAGGTCTGCAGGCTGTGCTAGACCCCACAGGCGTGGGTCACCCGCTCCGGGGGGATATGGGCAGATGTCTGTGACAGGGCGTCCGGCAGTGACGTCTTAGACATCTGTCAGACACGTCCAAGCAGCTGGGTTGGGGGGGCCTCGGCGAGCTGCACAGCTCTGCAGGGAGCCGCGGCCCTCACAGCATCTCAGGTGTGTGTGACTAACATCCCTCGAGAAGCACAGCGTGTGTGTCACGGACAGGTGATCGTCCAGGTGACCAGACGCCCATCCTTGGGCACCACACTTGGTGGTGGCCCTCGCAGGGAAGGCGAGGACTCTGGACTCGTCCCGCTGGATGGGTGTCTGGGTCGGGGAACCGTGTCTGAAAGTCACCTCCCCGAAGACAGGCGCGCGCGGGGCACGAGAGAGCTGGACAGAGAATCGGCCGCTGAGAAGCCGGAAGTGGACCCTGAGCTCACCCCACGGTCACCCGCGCTCACCCCACGGTCACCCGCACTCACCCCACGGCCACCCGCGCTCACCCCACAGTCACCGCGCTCACCCCACGGTCACCCGCGCTCACCCCACGGTCACCCGCACTCACCCCACGGTCACCCACGCTCACCCCACGGTCACCCGCGCTCACCCCCACGGCCAGCCGCAGCTGCTCCCGCGTGGGCAGCAGCACGAGGACGTCCCTGTGCTCCACGGTCATCGCGGCTCCACGGCCCGTCTCAGGGCGAGGCCCCCTCCGTGGCCTCCTGCGAGAGAGAGCTGGTCAGGGGCATGGCCAGGGGCGCCGACCCACGTGCCACTTGGAGGGACAGCGGCCACGTGTCACTGCGTAGGACCCTCACCCTCCGTCCGGCCCCAGGTGGGCACGCAGCGCCCCAGACTCACCCGGCTGCCTGGCTTCCTGAGGACCGGGTGCCTTGCGGGGCTCCTGGCCGGGAGGGGCTGGAGGGAGTGGGCCGGGCTCCAGCCTGCGAGCCAGGACAAGGTCCAGGCTGTAAGCAGCTGGCCACGTGCGGCGTCGCTGGAATGCAAACAAACAACGCCAGCTGCCCCGCCCGAGACTGGCCAACGCCCCAGGACCACCTGGCAGCTCCCCAGGGCCTCAGCTGCTCCCTGCTCCACAGTCTGGGGCCAGGGCACCGCCGAGGTTCCGGGGACGCTGGGGGTGGGCAGAGGCCTCGGAGCCCAGAAAGGCACCCGCAGTCCTGGGGGACGCAGAGCCAGGCGCCCCGCTGCAGTCCCTGGCTCCGCCCAGGGCGGGATGCGAACCCCAGCAGCAGCAGCGCCGCCCCAAACAGGCCCGACGGCCTCTGGCTCCCTTTGGGGGTGGACGCCCACAGGTCTTCTCTGGCTGGGGGTCACCTCCTGGCGACACTCTGGTGACACCGCCACCAGGACATGCAGCACCTGGCGTCTGCGCGTGGGGGTCCGGAGCCCTCTTCCCTCTCTGGCTGCCCCCCGACGCTGGCCCCAGCCCGCCCAGATTCGGGGCCACTCTCCCCGGTCACAGCGCACCCGCGAAGCCGCAGCCGCCCCTTCTCCCCACGGTGGGGGCAAAGCTGCTCCTCTTCTTAAAAGGGCAAAATAGCCCCGCGAACGGCCAGGTGTCGCCGTGCGGCCACTCGCCCGTTTCCAGCTGCCCAGTTGCCGGCCTGTGACCCGCTGACGGAGGTCACGACGCTGCGTTGTGTAGAAGACGCTGGTTAACGCCGCCTTCCACGAGGGCGCGGCCAGGACGTGAGGGACGGCGCCACAGCCAGCAGGACCGAGGCGGGTGGGCGCCGAGGTGGACGGCCTCCCCCGGACAGAGACCCCAGAGCCAAATCCAGCTTCCCGCGGGGCAGCTCAAGGCCCAAAGCCGGGGTGCACCGGGCCTCAGCGTGGTCCTCTGCGTGGGTGTTGGCTGTTGGAGGTGCCAGTTGGCCCACGCGCTCCCAACACCCGCACTTCCGATCAAGCTCCCTCGAGGGATCCTCGTGAGGACAGGAGGCCCCTGCTGCAAACCCTCCCTTCTCGCCAAAGTCCCACAGGCTCCTCGCCTGGGGCAAGACCCGGGCCATGAAGTGACCGCACTGTCACGGGGAATAGGGTCACTTCCTGTAAAGGCTGCAGAGGCTCCCCGTCGCCGAGGGCCACCTCCGCCTGCTGCACCTCCGCATCGGTCAAGCACCTCTGTCCCCTGACTTTGTCCTCTGGGAAAGCGCAGGACAGAGCCAGGCCCCACACGCCGCTTGAGACACTTGCTGGCTTCTGACCGGCTTGGGCGAGTCCGTGGTTTCAGGCGTGGGGGGGGCGGGGCGGGGAGAAGCGAGCCCCCGAAAACCTGACCCAGCCTCTTCACTCGCGGTGCCCCAAGACCTCTCTGCCCGATTCTCTTTCTTCTGGATGACGGGTCCCCACCCCTGAGATGGGCTTGTGAGACTGTTCTAGAAATAAAGCTTCTGAGCCCCAGGTGCACGAAGTCCAGGCTTCGTAAAACAACGCCGGACCCACTCAGCAGAGAGGCGTGAAGAGCCGCACGTGGGCCGAAGTCGAAGACATCACACCCCAGGGCGGAGCTGGCCCGACACTCGCAGGGCGTGTGGGCCCGTGAGGCACCCAGGGGCAGAAGGGGCAGAGGGGGCAGAAGGAGCCTGTGGCTGCCAGGTCCGCGGGTGGCTGCACGCAGTGGGCACAGTAACCCTTTTTGGGGCCACAGAAACGCTCCAAAACCCGGCGGTGCTGGCCGCACAACTCACAAATTTGCTAAAATGCATTTGATTGTTGACTTAAGGTGAAAGCTTTTTGTAGCATGTAAATCATACCTCAGTAAAGCTATTAAATGCATAACCGGTTATAAAACAGTAGAAAAACACAAAAAGCCATCCAACAGGTGGCATGAGATGCAACCCTTTGTCAGAATGGTGGCCCTTCTCAGCATGTGTGTGTGTGCGTGCATGCATGTTGGTGTGCGTATGCATGTGTGCATGCGTGCATGCACACAGGGATGTGTGCATGCATGTGGGGGGGTGTGCATGCTTGTGTGTGCATGTGTGTGCATACATGTACCTATGTGTGGGTGTGCATGCATGTAGTTGCACATGCATATATTTGTGCATGTGCATGCATGTGTGTGCATGGGCATGGGTGTGTGCGTGTGGGTGTGTGCATACATGTACCTATGCGTGAGTGTGCATGCATGTAGTTGTACATGCATGTATTTGTGCATGTGCATGCATGTGCGCGTGCATGGGCGTGGGTGTGTGCGTGTGTGGGTGTGTGCATACACGTGGTTGTGTGCATGTGTGTGTGCGTGCAGGTGCATGCACATGGCCCTCATGACAGCTGACACCTGCCCCTGTGTACCACCACGGTCAGCGACACCCGTCCACCCTTCCCATCGCTGCCCTGTGCCTTACACAGTTGGTTCTCATGGTCACAGTGACCCATCTTAGGGGTGAGGAGTCTGCGTTCGAGGCCGAGCTGCTTCGTCAGTGGCACGGAGGGCACTCCGGAGTGCTGGGGTGCCCTGCAGGGCGGAGGGGGGCCTGGCTCCCACTGCTCGAAGCTGCACTCTGAGGCCGAGGACTCGTGAGTGGAGCTGAGGAGCGTGAGCGCCCCCCATCCTTGGCCCCTCCCCAGCCCTGCCCTGGTACCCGCCCCTTCCCCACACAGGGGTCTAAAACGGGGACCCCAGGTCCCCAGACTTGGAGTCTCACAACCGGGGGAGCCACATGGGCCAGCACAGAGTCAGCGGTGGGCGGAACTGGGCGTGCCCCAGAAACTGCCCCCACCACACTGCAAGGCCCCCACACTGCGAGGCCCTGGAGGGAGCCGGCCCCGGTCCCCGGACAGGCCCCTCCTCCTGTGACAGGCTGGGACGGACACCCCAAAAAAAACCGAGGCTCGGGAGGCTGGGCACTGCCCGATGGCCAGAGCCGTTCATGGCGGCGAGTCAGCGTTCACTGTGCCTCGAGACTCGCTCCGTCTGGGGACATGGGACGCGGGTGCTGCTGCCTGGCCACCACCGTACCTGGGACAGCAGAGGACCCTGGGATGGCTCCATGTCTGTCCTTACGTCACCCCAGGAGGCCTGGCTTCTCGTTGCTCACGCCGGAGGAGGGACTTGGAAGGAAAGTTGAGCAGCAGCCAGCTGATAACGGGGCGCGCCGGCCCCCCGCCCTCGGCTGCTCTTGGCTGCGACTCCCCCTCAGTCCCAGAGCAGATTCCTAGAATTCTCTCCAGTGCCTCCTCTGCCTCCTGTGTGACCCTTGGCCAGGCACGAACACACAAACACTGACCGCTATGGATTTAGGATTCAAAGGGCCCCGTCCAGGAGTAAGTGGCCAGCCGAGACCGGGCCGTGGCTGCAGGCTGCCCGACGAGATGGAGCAGAGGGCAGGAGGCTGCGGGGAGAGGGGGCGGCTGTGTGGACAGACCCTCGGAGCTCCGGCCCCCGTCCCGCACCCACCCCAGGCCTCGGCTGTAGCCTCCTGCCCGGTGCCAGATGCTGCCCCCTCCATGTCACCGGCGTGGAGGTGCACGCGACTTGTTGGTCTCTTCTCAGTAGGCACTTAACGCAAATGTCCCCGTGGGGACCCCACGTCGTCTGCCACCCTTACTCACAGGGACCTGTGGCTTAGGACAAGGACACAGGTTGGAGAGTAAAGTGGATTTTGGCAAAAGGCTGCCCCAGGCGTGGGGCCATGTGCGGGGGCCGGGGGCCCTGTCCAGTCTGCGAGGCCCCCCACCCCACCCCCGGGCTCTGGGTTCACACCCACTCGCCGCTGGCAGCTGGCTGACCTGGCCCGTCCCTGGGGGCGCGTGGGTGTCCTCCGAGGAAGCAGGGGAAGGAGGAGGGGGTGGGCCGCCCCGCAGGTAGGGGCGCTGGATCATCGGCATGGTCTGTGATCGCCATGGTGACAGACAAAGCAGACTGGCTTCTACTGCGCGTTACTGCCGCTGGTAACTGTCTGCATGGGGGCCTCTCGCCGCCCGGCCAGGGCAGACCCCTACCCACCCTGAGTCCCTAGTGGCCTCCGCAGGCGACGCCCATGGGGCGGTGCTGGGTGCCAAGGGCTCTGGTGAAGAGCCGTCCAGGGGCGCTGAGTGTGTGGCTCAGGCTCTCAGCAGAGGGACAATGACCAGGGCCCAGGCCGTCCGGGTCCCAGGGTGTCCGAGTCCCAGAGTCCGCAACCTTGGGGGCCGGGGTGAGTCCGGGTTGAGGCGATGTGCTTGGTCTGAGCTCAGCGGGCCGGAGGCAGAAGCGGACGCAGGCTCAGGCCAGGCCAGTCCCCGGGCCTGGCCTCCTGCTGACCGTCCAGCTGTCCGGGCGGCGGCTCCCGCCCTCTAGGAAGAAGCCGGTTCAGGTTTTTGTTTCACCGACTCAGCAGATCATCGATCCAGTCCCAGTGCCCGGTGGGTCAGAGGGCGGGAGACAGCACTGCGTCCCCAGGAGGCGTCCCCTCTGGGGACCAGCGGGCCAGGAGCAGCCGTGGGCTCTCTGGCCGGGGCCTGGTGCCGTGGGGCAAGTTGGCGCTTCGTCCTGGCAGCTGAAACACTGCGTTCTTTGTGCTGTTCTTTAGCTCGAACTTCTGTGCCAGCTGAGCCCAGAAAGGCCGAGTCCAGAAAGGCCGGGCCCTGCCCCCACCGCCAGCCGGGTCCTCCTTCGCTGGCCCTGGAAGGGCAGGAGCCCACACCTGTGCTGGGCGGGGCGGGACG